GTTTGTTCATATCACAGTATTTGTTTTTCTTCCAGTGTTTGTTTGTTTTTCTTCCAGTGTTTGTTTGTTCTTTTTCCAGTGTTTGTTCTTCTTCCAGTATTTGTTCTTCTTCCAGTATTTGTTCTTCCAGTGTTTGTTTTTCTTTTAGTGTTTGTTCTTCTTCCAGTCTTCATTCTTTTTCCAGTGTTTGTTCTTCTTCTTCGCATTGTTCGTTATTTCTTGTTTTTTTTTCTCGTTGTCGACATCTAGACACTTTTCCCACTTGTAATATTCCAACTAATTTTTTCATAGACCGAGCAGGAAGCCGTCAGCTGTTACTGCAGCGCCTCTCAAACGGATAATCTGTCCACCGACGAGCATGACAGTTTGAGGGACTGCTCGACCAGAGGTATCCAGCAGAGCGACAGCGGCACCGACTTGAGGGAACATTCCGTTCAAGACGTAGCCGGGGACTGGAACCGATTTTGGGCGTTGTACGGGGAGAAGTTGATATGGAAGTCTTGGATCGACAAATATAGCGCGTACATCAATCCGGACTATCTGCAGAGAGATTTCGGCGAAGGGAGTAGCTTTTCTGGTAAGCTCTTTTATTTTTATCATTTCGTTCATTAGTATCCATTGGTAATCATTCTTTTTCATTCCTCCCGACAACAATGGATGTAATGATAGTTGATTAGTATATTAGATTAGATAGTAGATTAGATGTTTACGAGTTTCAAAAAAAAATACAATGTAATGCCATTAATCATGCTAGGAATCGCATGTTGAAAGGTAAGACCTCATTGATATTTAGGTGGCACAAAAGTTCTCGTCTGGAGGTTGTCATTCGTAAGGGGGTAGTTGTTGGTTTTCGGTAGAGAAATTTTTTCAAACATATTGCTGTAATTTTTTTTTTGTATTACTAGAAAAGTGAAGTCAAGTAATGCCTATGACCTCATATTTCTTTTTAACAATAATTTTGACAGCAAATATATGTGAATTAAATGTAAAACTGGAGTCGATACTCTGCCTATATGTCATAGTTCTTAAAGAACTGGTATTTTTTCCTATACACAAACTATATATGTATATTTGATAAATAGTTTTTAAACTATCTGTTTATCGCTAAAAATTTCGTAAACTAGAACATGTAGGTTTATGACGTTAAAACCACACTTCGCAACCGTTTGGACCTTACTTTTCATTGACTTCAAAATTTCCAACATTTCAAAATATTAGTTAACCCCACAGGCTAAATAGCTGTATTAGCCGAGGTCATGAAACATAGAAAGTACCATAGAGACAGCCTATGCTGTCTCTAGACGATTTTTTGGCTGTATTTATTAAATTTCAGTCATAGTCAGTATCAACAATGTTGTGGTTTGCCTAGTAACTGCTTCAAAAGTAACCTTTGGATTCGGATGAAACTTGTAACTGTGAGTCAAAGTTTGTCCTACGCAGTAAACTTTTGCTTTTAGAAATGTTTTCATTTTTATTTAATGAGCTGTGGTGAGCTATTTCCTTGAATTATATCATACGTCGTTTTAGACATTCTGTTTCGGAAGTAGTCCAACATTTGTGATTCCAGAAGAGTATGAGATTCACACAATCTGTAACCTGGTGGTTGAATTTTTTGATGTGAGATTTCATGTATTTAAACTAAACCCCTTGAAGTTGTGATAATAATAGTAATGTACTAATGAATTGTAAATATACATAAATAAAACCGTGCACTGGGTAAATAGATGTAGTAGCTGAGGTCGTGAAACATAGAAAACGTATTTTCTTCTTTTTTGCGTTTTCTTGACCTCTGCTACCGGAGCTAGCTGGCTTCTTTTTTCTTTGAGGTTTGTAATTAGAATACAAGTACACTTTATTGTCCAAGGGGATATCATATTGATATAGGATAAAGTGTAGAAGTTGTAATCTAGGTATAATACAATGGAAAAACTGAAAATATAAATAAAAAACAATAACATGATAAATATATACACAAATATAAATAAATGTAAAAACAATAAAAAATACTAAAATGAAGGTGAAGTATAGCTTTAATGAAAATTTTAAAAATCATAGATGAAGATATTACAAATATAGAATGAAATCACCTAAATATAGAAACTTATTACACATAAATAGGTTTAATACTTGTCAAATTTAACATTAAATGATATCTGAATTGATAAGTGATTCAAAAATTCAATTTAGTACTTGTTATAATGAAATTCGTCGTCCGGCCATCGAAGTTGAACCACCGTTATACACGTTAACCAACCTGCTACCGTTCCTCCAAAAATGTTTAAAAATTCATATCAATATGTATCCCGAATGATTTTCAGTTACGGACGTTCGAAATAAAGAGAAAGCTCCTCTGGAAGAGCTCCCACATTCCCAACTTCCACATAAAACCGACAACTCGACCTCTAAAGACGTCTCCAGGAAAAACAACGTCTTGCTGCGCAACTTATCGCTGAGCGAGGAGAAAATCTTTGCCGACGTCTCCGAGGGCTGGAACCCCTTGTCGCCGGTCAGCGTCGACGAAGGCACCGAAGCCGAGCGTCTGCTTAGCTCCAGGTGCGGCTCCTACACGAGCGGTTCTCTCAAAACTCTGGATTCCATGACGAATGTTACCGGTTTGACGGTATCGTCTTTGAATTCCAGTCGGGAGACGTCTAGTTCGGACAGTATCTCGTCCGTCAGCTCGGTAAACAGCTCTATCAGTTCGGAAGACCTCGACGAAGACTACCAGAGCCAGTGGAATGAGCTGTGGCAGCGCCACTACGAAGACGAGTATCTGGTGCAGTACAACAAGTTCATTGAGTCCGTTGTAACTGCAGGTACGTATAATTCAATTATATAGAGCTCGAACTCGAGCATTCTAATGCTCAGATAAGATTTTGAAAAGCCGTGTGTCATTGAGGTCGCGCATAATTAATAATGTATGGTTATTTTTCTCAATACCATCCACTGGTAGTGAAGCTTTCAGAGTGGAGATGTTTTTTCCTGGATGCAAATTGGCTTAGAAAAAATCTCATCTTCAAAAAAATGTATGATTCTCGATCAATTTTTTAAGATAAGTATTATCTTGTGTTCATATGTTAGTAAGTATTCCAATTGATATGTTCTCATTGCTACCACTCCATTTGTTTTCCTTTAGTTTTGCGTTGACGCTGGCACTACCTAGTGGAAACTATATTAAATAATATGGTTATTGAAAACTGCATAAACAAGTCATTCATATTTTACCATAATAAACATATTCTATACAATAACAAACGATCAGTTTTCGAATAAAATAAATCCCTGTGAACTGTAAGTCCTAAGTGTGAAGTAGTCCATATGCTCAAGATGTATGCTGTCTCTAGCACCAGCATTTTGAACTCGTCCCAATGTTTTTCTGAACAAAATATTTTTGAGGCAGTGTTTCTCGTGAAAGACCACATCAGTATGAATGTTTATGAAATTTCAGTCATGGCAAGTGGCAACATTGTTGCGGGTTGCCTAGTAACTGCTTCAAAGGTGACCTTGAGATTTGGGGTGAAAGTTGTAAAGTGTGAGTCAGAGTTTGTCCTACACAGTTGCTTTTGGAAGTGTTTTTATTTTTGTTCGGCGAGCTGTAGTAAGTTGTTTTATTAAATTATATCATAATTTTTAAATTGAGCTATTTCTTGTAGTTTTTATAGACATTCTGCCTGGTTGGTACATCAATTTAGTGACATTTGTGATTCGGGAAGAGTATGGGATTCACATAGTAATTTCTTGATGAGAGATTCTTTGTATTTAAACTTCAACCCCTTAAAGTTGTTACACTAATAGTTATGTTGTACTGATGAATTGTAAATATACATAAATAAAAAACTTGACCATCAATGATTAGAACCAAAATGTTTTTAATGTTTATCCTTCATATGTATTATGGGTGAGAAGAATAATACTTCATATCACAAAGGCAACGGATAGTAAGAAATAAAGAAGCAGGAGCGGATCTAGGAATTTTGTGAGGGGGGCGCACTTGAGATACATTTTTGCTATGAATGAATAAAAATTATGATGTTTGGTGAACATGATAAGATTTTCAAATGAAATCAACTACTCGGCATAATATATTCTGTTTATTTCATGAAAGAAATAGAAAACCAATAATTGATGATTTTTGTATGCCTAACAGACCAATTGTCTGTGTCCAAGGGGGGGCGCCACTGGATAAAGAAACCGTTGTGGAGTGCCGCAAGAAAAAAGTATAGGAATACATTTTCAAATCATAACGAATTAATTCATTCTCCTGAGTTGTGTTTTGCAGAGATAAAATGGCATACGTAAGACAATAAACTAATAGTGTGGATGTGTACGTGAAATGTAGTTTTCTTCAGATGGTTGAAGTTTATAAATACTTGATGCTTTTATACTTTACTTGCAATAAATCATAAAAAAAGTCTATTGACATCACGCCTGGTTGTCTACCAGGTGCCTGAATTATTAGAGGAGCAGTCTGATTTTTCCTGTCCACCTACAAAAAAAACCAAGTTGAGAATACTTTCCACTAGTACTCCACGAACCAAGTTACAAACCTTTTTTTGAAAGCCTTCTTTTGTGAACATTAATTAATGTTGCCAGGACGAGTAAAGACATTCAACAATGAAGAAATAAGTTGAATGAAAAACCGATGGATTCATCTATTTATCCATTTAAAACATTAACGCATTTCTATTGATTGAAACAATCCGGGTACACGTTAGTCTAAAGTCAACTCTATTTCACAACAAACCCCGTAGAGGCCATTCAGCAGTTTAAGTCAAAATTAGACATGTTAAGATTATTTTTAGTTTTCTAAGCAGGCATAGATTATTATGGCACATTACTTTTTTCAAGTAATAGCTTTGGTTAAATATTAGGTTGTTTTAAAAGTTTTTTCCGTTTTTACAAGTCTATTTTTAACTGTATTATCTCCGTTCATACTTATTAACACGCTATTAGCTTCACCTGTATGTATGTATGTTTGTTTGTAACTGTCAAGCTCGGGAGCTGTATTTGACAGAATTATCGGCATTATTGCTTGATCTATTCGCGGGCAGATGGCGCTGTACGTTACCTCCCTGATATGTCGACATTATTGCTTGATCTATTCACGGGCAGATGGTGCTGTGCGTAACCTCCTTGATGTAATTTGAACTCACTATACATGTATTTCTTCATTTGAAAAAAGCATTTTTTTTAATTGACATGCGCGCCTGCTGCTTTGGGCTTGGTAGCCGGAATCCGAAAATATCAACGGGCATTTTTCTAAACAATATACGGCTGATTGATCCCAAAGTTTAGATAAAATAANGTATATTTCTGAATTTTTTTTTATTTGTGAATAGTCCGCTAAGTTTTTTACATGTATATATGTATTCTCTCGTATGTATATGTAAATTCTTCAGTGATGAATAAATAAATTCTAAAATTAAAACGGATAAAACTTTCAAAATAACCTAATAACTAGATCCTACAGTGTTGTTGTAATTTCTACAATTTTACAATTTCGGTATTATAATCCACCCATAACCAATACTTCACCTCATTGTTTCTAGAACTCCTGACGGTACAATGTCGAATGGGCGTTAATAATAATAATAATAAATTTCAATACTTTCATGAGTCGAACAACTTGATATTTCAGCCCAAGAAAATAATAAATGGGAGGGAAAAAAAATGTAATTTCGTTTGGAGACAATATTTCCCCCCGAAATGTTTTTCCACACAATCCCAAATGAAGGTTCTTCGACAGTACACGATAACGTTTTCAGATTCCTTGCTGAAAGTCGAAGTCGACAGCGCAGACTCCTTGGACGGATCTCTCGCCACTCTCTCGGTGATTCCCTCCGAGAAAATTGTGATTCAGGAGACGAGCCCACAAAAAATCGTCGTCCAGCAACTCAACTCGACTGTCCATTCTCTGGACAATTTGTTGGACGGACTGAACATGACGGATGCCAAAGTGGTCAGCGAAACGTCCGATGACGAGAACGACACTCTTCAAACGGAAATGCTCGCGATGGGCTTGCCCACCGCTTTCGGTCATTCCAGCTTCTGAGTTGTGTTGATGATTAAACTCTGGGATCTATCAGTTAAGTCTGATTTCATTAAATTCAAGACTACACCCCTTATACCTTATTAATTAATAAAAGGTCATGATTAACACAATCAAAGGCCCGAGAAAAGTCAATAAATAGTCCACAAATCTGTAGTTTTCCATCTAAGGCTGTTATTATATTTTCTTGAAAATTATATAAAGCAGTTTCAGTACTTCTGCTATGGTTGTTTATGATCTTTATGGTTTCTGGAAGGTGGTTGAATATTTTAGGACTGTTGTTCGCTAAAATTAGAAGTCCAATATTCTTTGAATATGAAATTGAATAATATAGCTCTTGAAAGAGAAACATTTATCCGTGATCTGGGAGTTGAATTTGATACCGAAATTAATTTAAATCTTCAAGTATCAGGAACTGTGGCAAAAACTCTGAAAATGCTAGGTTTTGTGTTGAGAATTTCTACTGATTTTTCAATTAATGCAAAGAAGATTTTATATTGTGCTTTCTTAAGATCCATTCTTGAATATTGTTCGGTTAAATGAGACCCACACTTTCATGTAAATATCGATTTGATTGAGAATGTTCAAAAGATATCCTCGAGGAATTGTGCTTTTCACTTTGGTATTCAACGAAATGAATATGAGTGCAGTCAACTCTTAACCAAGTTAAATATAAAATCATTGGAAGATAGGAGAGTTTCTATGAACTTGAGTTTCCTCTTTAAAATAATAAATAGTGAAATAAACTGCCCAGAACTACTTCAACTAATAACTTTTCATATCAAACCAAAAGGTACGAGAAATCCCATATTTGCAGAAAAAAGAAGAATTCGAGAAGCAAGAGTTTAAATTGGCCGCGTGTTTGTTGACCAATAAAATTGATCGTGTCTACAGCAGTGTTGCCAAGTGTCAATTATTTTAACAAAAATACGAATTTATTAGAAAGAGTACATTGTCTCATACATTCAAGAGAGATAGCTGACTGGGTAGCAATATGGCTAATATATAACATTAAATTTTTTATTTTTGGTGAGTGGCATGAATGCATAATTGATTTTATTTTATTAGGGTCCACGAGCCTTCGAGAACTATTTTAAAATATAGCTCGTTCAATTCTATTTAGAAGCATGGTTTTCGAGTACATTTTATTTCATATGGAGAATTTTTTCATGTATTTAAACGTTAACTGGTTCATATACACTTCCATTATTAAAATTTCTGTGATATCAACATAAAAACTAACTTTTTTATCGCGTATTGTGTTATTTGGATCCCATTTATAATTAATTCTTCCTTCCAATGCATTTCTTACGCTTTCTTCTTAGATTTAGTTTTTGGAAGTGAGTGATTTTACTTTTGAATCACGAATGAATCAGAAACTTTTCATACGCTCCGTGTGATTTTTACAATTTGGCAATGTTCATTATTTGTATTGTTCCTATTGGTCAATCGAACAAGAAGCGGGACTAGGCCCGTGACGTCACGAGCCTAGAAAATCCGATTTTTAATAATTAATTACGGAAAAACAACGCTATTTACAGAGCTGAAACAAAGTACACTATTTTTCAATTTGAAATTACAACCAAATGAACTGTAAACCAAAAATCATGAAACAAGCCCATTATGGTTTGTTTAAAGGTGGTTGAAATAGGCCCAGTATGCTTTGAACAGTCCGATTTTTCGTATTCTGAAGCTGGAAAGCAGTATCTTGATAACTTAGATCCGTTTAATGCGTCACAGGTCTTTAAAAATCAATTGAAAGGGCTATAGCGTTTCCGAAGCTTTTCTTTACCTTACCATTTTCTTTGTAAGTACCAGATTTGTTAGATATTTTTCCTTGTAAGTACCAGAAATGTTTCATCTTTCATTAATGTAGTCACTAGACATTAGGATTTATTAATATTTTGTATTTCACATTTTGCTGAATGTTTTGTAAAATTGTAATGTAGACATCAGCAAGCAATTTTTCCTTCCTTCAAGTATGACGTGGTTTCGACAATCTGGTTGTGATTAGATTTATTTATAAGTCAAACTAAGATATCGGGTACAGAGTCATAAACAAAGAAAATTTGCTTCCAAAAATAAAATTATATATATTTTCAAACTATAAAATTTCAGGATGTCTGATAAAAGTCTCTTGGAATACTCATAGGTCGGATCAAGTATCTTCAGTGTATTCATATATGTTTGATATTATTAGAAATTGGGAGAATGAAATAACAGAATTTATTATTTTCAGCGATAGTTTCAACTCCGGACGTAACAGAGTCCGGGCCGCCTTCAACGTATTGGGTATCGAGTTCCAGGAGAACCCCGACGAAACCATGACCGGCCACGTGGACTATAAGATGAAACATATCCGGTTGCAGAACAGGCACTTGAAAATTCGACCGGAAGCTAAGAAACCGAAGCATTGCTTCTTCGATGACGATGGCAACATGATTGAGAACGAAGAAAGTGCTGAGGAGGTTAGGGTATAACTAGAATATCTGTGATATCAAGAAAAATTCAATGTGGTGAAAGTTTATGATATTGAGATACAGTTGAAATTTTATGAAATTCATCTGAAGAGAGTCTAAATTTTCTTTTAAGAGTACTGGTCTTTCGAAAGATTCTGACAGTATTGTTAATCATTCATCCATTGTATATTTCAGGTGGCATTCCATGACGTTTTGTCCGACAGCTCGGACAACCAGGCGAGTTCTTGCGAAGACGAACCAGAGTCTTTAGAAGTGGTTGACGATAAATCTGTCCCGACTAGTAAAAGGAGAAAACGGAAAAGAAAGCAGCCTTCTCTGCCTCCGGAAATCAGGGACAACCGGAAATTGACGAAGTACTGGAAAAAGAGATTTACTCTGTTCAGTAAGTTCGATCAGGGCATTAAATTGGACGAAGGTAAGGGACGATTTCTGTTTTATAAACGTTATTTAATTATTTTTATGGAAAATATTCGATGCACAACAGAAACTTGCTTTTATAAAATCAATCTTTATATGAACAGTTCTTCTGGCTTGGAAGCGGAAACCATTGAATCAGATCGTTTATGAAATGTAGGAACCTTCCAAAGGAAGCATTAATTTCAAAATAAATTATCTTTAAAGATGTGTAGATCATGCATAGAAATTACTTTCAGATACAAACTGGAGGAGAAGTCTCTCTCCTAACACTACTTTCACTTAAACATTGTGTTCTAACTTCAAAAACTGAATTTCATGATAGTTTTACTCTTATTGAAAAAGTTTTTATAAGTCATGCATAAAAAATTTCAACTGTTAACTGGAAATTTGATAGAAGTTTAACTTTAATTCCGGTCTTGCGGTTCCAAGTAACTGATTATTATTAACACAGAATTCTTTAAAAATTCTGAGAATCAATCTTTTGTCATGAAATTCTAAGTTTTATAAAAGTTTAGGGCTGATGACTTTCAGCAATTTCCTACAGCCATTTTAAACGAACGATTCACGTGAAGCAATCAGTCATATTCTACACAGAATCCCTTAAATATTCTAAGAATAAGGTTACTCATAGAATTTTAACTTTGAATTAGAAATTTTATGAATGATTCACTTTTATAAATAAACTTCAACTAAAACTACAATTTCTTGCGAAATATTTTACAATTGATGAGGTGTATCCTGAATGAAAAATGTAGATTTCTGTGGTGTTCTTGTTATAGTAATCTCTCTTTTCAGAAAGTTGGTATTCCGTAACTCCTGAACTAGTTGCCAAACACGCTGCAGAGAGGTGCAAGTGTGACACGATCGTCGACGCCTTCTGTGGAGCCGGCGGCAATTCAATACAATTCGCCCTCACTTNTCTAGTAGTTTTGGAGGACATTTGATGGTTTTTTTTTTATTTTCTCTCATCAGTCTTCAATTTCGAGTGAACCTGAAGTCATTCTAATCCTTAGGAAAGTGTATTTGAGATGTCTTCAGCTTTACTAAAAATTTAATTAAATGAATCATTTTGCTTTAAAATCTCTTAGATACATATAGTTGAACATCTTGAATAGCCGCATGTCCAATATAAAAAATGTTCCTTTGCCCTCTTTAATGATCAACAAGGGCTGTAGGGTTCTTGATATTAAGTTTTTTCAGAACCTCTGGTGCGCTCTGAAACTCGTGTTTTGAGATAAAGTCCGGTTTGGCCAACATAGCATTCAGGAAAGTTTCCATAGGAAACTAATAAGGAACATTTCATTGATTAAATTTTTACTTTTCTTATGCAATACCTTTAATTCAAGAAAAAACCAGTCGAAATTCAACAAAAATAATGAAAACATCCGTTGAGTATTAGAAAAATCGTTAGTATTCAAACTTAAAGTTTGTGTTTACCAATATTTCAAGAGCAAAAGAAGAAACTTTTCAAAAGTTGCCATTAAAAAATCTAATACAAAATTCAAGACGTTCGACCAGGCACGATTATGAAAGCTAAATCCGAAAGAAAATATTTTTCCGAACATATTTTAACATGAATTATGACTGGTTTTCTCATCGTGGTATTTATAATGATATTTCAAGACTTAGTACACTGAGTTCATAGTTCAAGTAGATTGTGGAATTCATATTTTTGAATATCTTCTGCTGGAATAGGTATTCCAAAATGTTTTTTCAAGAAACTTTCATTGACATTTTTAATTTGTCCTTCAGTTTTAGTGCAAAGCCAGAAAAAAAGGTTTTTTCCCTAACAAACTTCATGAAAATTATAATTTCATTCACTACACATACAAAACAACAAAGCCTCTTGAAGACTATAAATAGGATCGAGTACCGAAAGGAAATATATCAACCGAGTTCATTAAATCATCACTCTCAGATGAGTCCAAGCTCATGTATTCGCTCCGACTCTTGTCATCCCTTAGAGCCGGTTTTTTCAGTCTACTGTCTCGCTCAGACAAGTGCTCCGAATTGTCTAGCATCGTTTGGTCGAAACCACTAACTTCGTCAATGATACCACTGTCTACACTCTCCCCCTCCGCATTGGAGTTCCTATTGTCATCAGCCACCTGTGAATCTTCTGCTCCTTGTTCCTGCTTCCCAAAAATTGACTTTCCCCTGAGTTTGTCAAGGTAGCAGTAGACCTGCTCAGCTTTCCTAGGTTCTTCCTTAGGATCCGCATTGTCTGTCATCCACGTACTGAACCTCTGCTGGATTATTGAGGACCCAAGCTCTTCATATTCCTCTTTTGTCACCAGGTATGAATCAAAGTCGGGAATTTTCAGCAAGGCCTCCCCACCCTTCCAGCTGTACGTGATTGGATCATCCGGTTGGTACACAACAACCTCCCAAAGGTGGGGTAGCTGCGACCGCAGCTCTTGGTACATTCTTTCCCTGAACCCTGGGAACTTGCAGTTGCCCCCTACAAGAACTATGTTCCTTGCTAGGTTCTCCTGATGCTCCTTTGGGCAGAGAGATATTGACTTGACGACAGCCTCGGCTATGCCCATGCTTTTCATGCCAATGTCCGATGGGTGGAAAAGTATTTCGGGCACGATGAATCTTTCGTTATTGAGCTTCAGTATCTGGCAGCTTTCCTCTTTCTCTTTTTGAAGGAGGTCGTTTGGATCTTGGACGTATCCTCTACGGATGTTGTTGAAATCCGGGAGGACGTAGTTCTTCACTATGCTGTTCTCTGGTTCGGGTTTGGCAGCCAGCCTGAGCTCTTCTTTGACGTCCTTCGCCACGTAACAGGTGTCCTCTTTCACCTGAAATCAAAATGAGTGATATGGATACATACCGACTAATAATAATGTATTCATCCCTCACCCCTGTACTTTTTGGAAGTAAATGAAATTGATTTTGAATGTTGGAAGAGGTTAATGTTTCAATTCAAAATAATCATTTTATTAAATCTTTTTAACCTGGTTTATCACAAATGTTTCCTCCATGACATTGTACTGCCTGTAGGATATGATGTCCTTCAGGTGGTTCGTCAAAAGTTTCCCACCTACGTTCATCCTCCTGATTCCTCTGAGATACTTGTTACCTCCAATGTAAGGTATGACATGGGTGAAGCTGAAGCCCGTATCGACTATCACGCAGGGCGTATCCTCCGTTAGTTGGCGCTCCTTTGCATACTTCAGCCTCGCCAAGTCAGTTGGGTTCACGCGGAACATCGATTTCACTTCGTACTCCTCAAAAAATATCTCATCCATGCAATCTTGGATTGACTTGAAGTTGAACAGCGGTTGCGTCATGATGACCGGCCTCTCGTTCACTGAGTAGACGTTTCTGCTGAATAAGAAGTCCCAGACGGGCTTCTGCACGTCCCATTTTGTGATGTATCCCCTTTCACAGGGCAAGAGGAAGTATACTCCGGAGCAGTCTCGACAGTCGTCGATTTGGTTGCCTATGAACAGTCTCTTCCGCTCTGATTTGGCTTTCATGATGCAGTTGGGGATGATCGTTGGAAGAACGTCGGTGGACAGTCCGGCTTTTATGCTGTAGGCTCCGCTGTCCACTATGAGAGCTACCAAGGTATTGTTTTTTTTTGGTTTGGTTTCGCTTGTACCGATGCTAGAGCGTCTTTTGGTTTTGGATCGGTGGTCTGTCGGTCTAGAGTACATTTTTACTGAGCTAGAGCAGCTTGTATTCATTTTTTGTTTGTTTATTTGGTATATTTATTAGTTTTTTAAATTCATTACATAACCCTAATTCTTCTTCTTAAAAATCACCTAACATTTATTTTAGGCTCGAAGTATTTTAAGGTATTCATAGGCAGGAAAATTCATCATCCTCAGAGATCGAAAAATATAGATTCCCTTCTGTCCCTTTCCATGTAACCAAAATATCAACTGGTTGCTTGTTTGTCTAAGCTTGTTTGTGTGCAAACTTCCATCATTGTACAAGAATAGACAATATCATATTGAATTTCATCAGTATATAGCGAATCTGATCGTCTTACTGTTCTTAATATCCGATGGTTCTATTCTTAACTTGTATTTATGTTTAGTGATGTTGTTCAACATTTTTATCTAATGAAATTAAATTTCTACTGTTTTAGGTGCAGTATGTATGAAACCTACAAGACTGTGTGGTAGAAGTGAATAATGTTGAATTTGAATAGCTGGGGATTATATTCATTTGGAAAAACTGCCTGGAGAAGTTTATCCCACAAGTAGGTTCTTTTCGTGTAAGACCATGGAGTGGGTGACATCTAGTTTTATAATTCGAAAGTCAAAATAAAAAAAAATATTTTTTTTGGACAGTAGAAACTGAACTCATATCCTGTTTTTCAATTGAAAAACTAATAATTTCGTAAACAAAGACTTCGACTATCGAGCTAATATTTTTCAAATAACGGCTCATTTCTGTCAATAATACTTCACAAAGAACTTTTATCGAAATAACAACCATAAAATTTCGTAGAAATGCCTAAATGAAATGTCAGTCCAGAGACAAGTTGGTTGTCTCTGTGTCACTCTGACAATTCTTTGATTTCCCGGAGATTTGGGCTACCACCTTACGGCAGTGTTCTTCTCGAATAGTGCTTTTACGATCTTGGTCGTAGCCAAAAACAAACGAACAAACTAAAGAACTAGAAGATGAAATATTTTTTTGTGAATAATGAATTAATGGATTAATTCGTAATGGATTTTATTGCATGTTTCCAAAATAGATATTTTTTTGAAAAAAAATATTAAAATAATCTTCTAGAAAAGTATAATACGAGTCAGAGGTAATTTATTCTAATACCAACTAATTCAGTTAACCCATTTGAAACCTTTTTGTAATAATTGGTAGTGATTATAGTTTGGGAATTAACAAGCTTGCCAAGATTTTTTCCAGTTCCTTAGTTGAGGTCGTTGCATCAAGACTAATTTTCAATGAAGGTTAATTATTAAGAAGGAAGACTGCCGAAAACTGACAAATTTCTGTATATCAATGACCACTCAATTAACTTAGTTTAATTCTAACTTGGGCTCCATTTGATGCCCCGTTGAAATGTGTTTTCACTACGGGAAAGAACTAATTAATTTGCTTGTCTTTTTTCAGAATTTTATGTGTCACACTAAGAAAAATTCCTTCTTATCCAGTACAAAACGAAAATGCAACATATGAAATTCTACATGGTAAATCGTTGGCTTTTGGTAAGCATTCCTTAAGATGCAAAGTGAGTACCATTATACATTTCAATTCAACGGCATGAGCGACATTTATAATAGTTTGGTTGATATTCTTCAGTAACTTCAAAGAGTTGAGAATAAGAAGGAAATCAATACATTCCTCTATATTTCTAGTTTTGTGTTTTAATTTGAAGAAGGTAAGATCTGAAAGTAAATCAGACTCTTAATTAGTTTGGTGGTGGTCAAATTAAAGATTCATCAACATCCTGTATATCTTAATACATAAATATTACATTATCACTTTATCAAACATATCTCATGCCAATGTTTCTTTGACCCATCATTATATGTAATTCATACTGGCAGAGGATTGGTAACAAAGTAACTCGAAATCAATCATGTTAAACTTCGGTTGACTATTTAAGAAGCTCAGATTTTTTTTGCACAAGAAGATATAGCCAACTGACGTTTATAGAACTATCAAGTTATTCAAAAGTTTCTCTCAATGCTAACTAATGTTCATTATTCAAACATTTACAAATGTCAAGCAAGAATTACAACAAATTCGCCTCTTTTGAGGCTACTTCTATTTCACAATAAGTAAATTATGTAATTGTTTTTGGGGTTTTTCAGGCAAATAAATTGAAAATTAAAAGATGAAAAATACTTTTTATAAAACTATTGAAATATTGAATATGAATAACAGACGCTATCTGAAATATATAAATGTAAAGTAGGATTAACTGGGCCTCACATTCTAAATTCAGAAATAAAAACTCTGCTTTACTTTGCTTCTGACTGGGAATCTTATTCGGGGTTTATAAAGTAATTCCAAAAAAATCCATAACTCAATAATTTGAAGGCCCTGAAGAAGCTTCCCAGTGAGAAAGGAAAGCTTGACAAAGCAAAGCAGAGTTTTTTATGTTTGATTTTCGACTGAGAGATCCTGTTATATTAAAATATATTGGTAGCTGTAAAGTTGAGAGAGTTTTAGGTGTTGAATATATGTAGATTGTGAGTACACACAGCTTTAAATTTTCATAGGTATCTTGAAGTACAAATTTAGTATTCCACAACGAGTACATAGCATTTATCTTAGTTTTTCCAAAACACTAGTAAATTTTAAGTTATCGTAGATTTTGTGACAAGAAGAAAAATTCATATTTCAAAGAAACAATTTGCTATCAGAAAAATCAGTTCAAGAGGGTCAGTATTAATAACACTTGAACGAAAATGGACAGCAAATTTGGAAAAATTCACACGGTTAGCTTATATGTAGACAGAAATTCGCTGTCTTGAAATCATCAAGAGATCCCAGCAAACACGATTACATCTCCAGAATATAGCAGCGATGTTATAATGTGACGTACAAAGCATATCTTAGTAATCAAGATGTCACAATGACATACTTTTGTCATACTTCTTTGACAAAATTCACACATTCACTGCAACAAGTTTTTGTGCTAGATTTGAACGCTTTAATAACTGTCAATGGACTCTCTGCATATTGTGTTGTTATACAAGCAATAATGAATCTATATTTGATAAGAAGCCTACTATTGGCAGCTCAGCGTACTTAGAGTTTAAAAGGTATCGTGCAATATAAGCCTATTGATCAATCACCTAGCATACAATATTTAAGCCCTTTATAACAGATGGGTTTGCTGGGATGACTCAAACAATGTATGCGATGATTTTTTTTAGAGTACTCGCCAGTATTTTCCTTTCACAGTTAAAATACTCATATTCCAAAAGCTAGTGTAAGCCATTCAAGTTTTTATATAAGGAAAATACTACATGTGCTGAAAAGTCTCGGGTCTAACAAATAGATGGCGCCAGTCTTACTACATTCACAGCTTTTTCAGTTAGTACTATAACCTTCAAAAGGAAGCTGTTGAAATTTCATGATATTCGACTCATAAGTTTGTAAGTTATTGGGCTAAGAGTGACACTACTTTTGATATTTTTAAAACAGCGGATCAAAAACAATTTCGTGTTTTAATTTTCCACTGCTTCTTGATAGGAATATAGTTCAACCGAAGCAATGGCTTGAAAAGTGTTATAAAGACTCCGCTCTATCAGAAACAACAATTAAAGGCTGGTTTGCTGACTTCAAACGGGGTCGTAGAGACACCGATGATGCAGAACAGTGAATATTATATAGCGTTATTGGAGCGTTTGTTTGTAGGCCGAAATTGCAAGATCGCATTGGCAAGGAAAAAAAATTGTTTCACCAAGACAACGCGCCGTGTTACAAGTCTATCAAACCAATCGCAAAACTACATGAATTCAACTTTGAATTGCTCCCACATCCACCGGATTCGCCGGATTTGGCTCCCAGTGACTACTGGCTGTTCGAAGACCTCAAAAAAAATGCTTACCGATAAGAAATTTCACTCTAATGAAGAGGTTATTGCTGAAACTGAAGCCTATTTTGAGGCAAGAGATAAATCGTACCACAAAAGTGGTATTGAAATGTTAAAGCGGCGCTGGAATGATTATATGTCTCTTGATGGAGGTTACGTTGATGAATAAAGCCAATTCTGAGCGAAAAAACCCGTTCTTAGGCCCGGGACTTCTCAGCCAAGGTTGTAGACCAATATATTTATTGAACGCACGATTTTGAAACGTTTCTTTTGAATATTTTTTCTTGTCCTCCCACAAAATCGACACAGTAACTCCCATCCACCTCATCTCCACCTTCACACCCCTTAGATTAGCCTAGACTGCGGTTGAGGTGTTCTCTATTCATTCTTCCAGGTGAGGTGACGGTACTTCTAGTCTGACCGATGGCGAAGGAACCTCTCGACCCACTCTAACAACCTTAACAGTAATATTAGTAACCCTTTCTGGTGGCTGGTCCATTTTCTATCTCTTTAGCACAACAGGTTGAGGGTCCACTGCATGCTCTAACCGCACGCCATGACGCACAAGCGGCCGCGCAAGTTCCACTGCGCGAGCTGCGACAAGAAGTTCGTCAGCAGCAACGACCTGCGCAAACATGTGCGCACTCACACAGACGAGCGCCCGTACGTCTGCCACGACTGCGGCCAGGGTTTCCGGCAGGCCGGCTCTCTGAAGAACCACATCGCGTGCAAGCACTCGCCGTGCAAAAACGCCTTCGTGTGCGACTACTGCAAGAAAGCGTTTCCGATCAAGGACAGGCTCAAGCTGCATCTGCGCACGCATACGGGTGACAGGCCCTACGAGTGCACCGAATGCGGGAAGCGGTTTGCGCGGGGTGGCCAGCTGATCCAGCACATGCGCACTCACACGGGCTCCAAGCCGTACATCTGCCATGTTTGTAATTCTTCGTTCACGTGCTGCGCGAACTTGAAGCTCCACATGAACCGGCACCTGGAGATCCGCGACTTCGTCTGCGACATTTGCGGCAAGCGGTTCTTCAGGCGAGACGCGCTGCGCAAGCACTTGAACTGCTACCACGGCAACATCAAGGCCTTCCATTGCCATATCTGCAACAAGGAGCTCAAGGGGCATCTGCCGCAGCACATGCGCATTCACAGGCAGGACAAGCCGCACGGCTGCGCGCATTGCGGCGCGCGGTTCACGCAGCGCTCGCAGCTCACCGTGCACCAGCGCACACACAGCGGGGAGAAGCCTTACCGCTGCCAGATCTGCTGGAAGGCGTTCGCGCACAGCACCGCGCTTAGACTGCACACGCGCAGACACACGGGCGAAAAGCCATTCGTCTGCGTCCTGTGCGAGGCCTCGTTCACACAACTGCCGCACCTCAAGAAGCACATGCTGACGATCCACAAGAGCAGCAAGCCGTACGTGTGCAAGCACTGCAAGTCCTTCCACCGAACGAAGACGGATATGGAGACGCATTACGCGTTCTGCGAGGCTCTGCAAGACAAACCGAAAAAGGCGACCGCGGCCTCCGATCTAGGCATGCCCGTGGAGAAGATGCGCTACCTGCTGGCGATTCTCTTGAAGAAGATCTCGTCGCCGGATCGTTTGAGCGAGCTCGGCTTCAACAAGAGACTGATCGACGACGTTCTAGTTAATTCTATCGAGAGTTCGGGCCGGGAACCCTGCAGGGATTCGGATTTGCCCGTGGCGGAGAAGCTCAAAAGGAACGTCAAGATCCTGTTGGAGTGGACCGTTCCGAAAATGTACATGGAGAAGTTCGAGAAGGAACGCAGGTCCACCGAGGAGCTTCTGAAGGAGTTGACGTCCTAGAGGATTGCGCAAAGATAGTTTATGTAAGTTGAGATTGTGTGCGTGGTATTTGATTTTTGAGGGGAAAGAGAAGGGCATTGATGGGCGCGGGAAGAAATTGTGTTGACCATGATAAGAAAGCTCAGACAATGAGAGCGATCAAGATTACTGTGTCATAACAATTTTTTGGCTTTGTTGACCTTGTCTGTCGCAGTGCTCTAGTCCCTTCACAGCACATGTGGCATTTCATTAGGTTCGGTTTTTTTTTATCGTGTCCTATTGTTAGGGTTAATTGGTCTGATTCGTGTATTGTTGAATGCGGATAGATATACTTTATTTGGGTTAATTACTTCTTCCTCTCGGAAGAGACTATTATCCAAGATTATATTGTTGTGAATCATGCCCGAAAGAAAATAACGCCGGCCGCCACTGGTAATCATAAACCAAACGTGACGTAGCTAAGAGAGCGCGAATTCCCAAAGTTTCCTACCGCTCTAGAAGCAGCGAGAATAATACCGATTTCGACGGAACTGCGGCGAAATTTCTACGGCATTCGATTACGATATTTCAACGCTAGCTGCGAGCATATCGACACAGTCAAGTGGACGTTACGGTGCGGTACGCGAAGTGATCTAGTAAGGCAATAGACATACAAATAATAGTTGAAGTGTTTGTTGTATTTAAAGTGAAATAAAGTTAAGTTTGATTTATTCAGTATAGTCAGCGACGAGGCTCATTTCTGGTTGAATGGATACGTTAACAAGCAAAATTGCCGTCTAGATATTTAACGCTTTGGATTATTTCTTGGAGTCATGTTAAGGCTCATGTCTACAGGAATAAACCAGCAACGACTGACGCTCTGGAAGCCAATATTGAAGCATTTATACGTGAAATACCGGTCGATATGTTAGAAAGAGTGTGCGAGAATTGGACTTTGCGCATGGGCCATCTAAAGCGGATCCGCGGATAGCATTTACATGAAATCATCTTCAAACATTCGTTCTATCGATTCCAATAAAGATTTCATCAATTTTTTTAAATTTTTTGTGTTGTTTTGAAAATCAAATCGTATACCTCTTGAAAAATCACCCGTTAGAAATTTCAAAACCGGTAGCCCGGACCTGAAACAATGTAGTATGTGCTGTGAGGATAACCTGAGTGCTTCACCCCTTTAAAAAGTCAAACACTATCTAATTATAAATGTGCCGTAAGACTTTGATAGCCATTTAGTATTTTTATAATGCTCGGTGGTGAGTCCATCAGCTCCTTATGCTAGAAATCGCACGTTGAAAAGTGAATATCTCGTTGACCTTTAACTAGCACTTGTTTTGACTTCTGAGGGTTGTCATTCGTATGGAATGAGAGCTGGTTAATTGAAAAGCTAGCTATTTTTGGAAAATCACTTTTAGGTACCCAATTTAGTGCAAAATATTCAAAATTACTTTGAGAATCATGTATTTTGGATTTCGCTGTGAAATATCAATACTTGTTACTTGATCGTCTTAACGTCACATGGTCCCAAACATTGATAGAAGGTGAGGGTACAAATTCTACAATCGAAATATTTTAAAAACGTATTTATCCGCGTTCCACACTGAACTAATATGAATACATGACTTTGGCAAGCTACAGAGTAAGTTTTAATGGTTTTTTTTATATTGAACATCATTATTTTTCAAATAAGAAAATGGGAATTTTGAAGTTAGGAAAAGTAAAATGTATGGGTTTTAATAGTATTTAGTTAGTATATTGATAGTATTTTAGTTAGTAGAGCCAGTATATTCAGCAGAGCTATTTTGCAAAGAAATTAGCTACTTGATTTTCGGTTGCCTTGATGAATCCACGTTTCATCTTGAAGATCGCTTCTAAGGAGTGAATTCGAAAAAAATCACGGAAATTACTATAAAACAATGTAAATCAAAACAGCGTAGTACATTTTGAGTATCAAAAAGAAATTAACGTCTTTGAAAATTAAGAACAATGTGGACTCTTTCGGGATTTCTATTGTGGAACTCATTATATACTTCAAGACTGTGGGAATAATACATTTTTCGAGGTATCAAAGGACCCATGGAAATTAACCATGTGCTAGAGGTCTTCCAGTGTCTGATCAGCATCTTTTGATTCGGAAGATTTGACACACGTCAACGGAAAATGAAAAAAAAATCCGAAACGTGAACCAAATTATATATACTTCAGTAGATTCTTTATTGATTCAACTTCATTTATTTTTCGTATTACGGAAGGTTGAACGCCAAAAAAAGGAAGAAACAGTGTTTTCCAGTATAATTCCTTATGTATTTTCTTATCCATTACTCAATGATGTTTTTTTCTACAGGAAAGTGGCCATATTGAGACGCTGGATCATACCAAATATATCGAAAGTGTTCAGAATAGTCTTTATTTAATTATATAGTAATCTAATTGTGTGCATTTAGTTTGAAAATTAATTAATTTACTCGAAAACTCATGTCTGATTACCAAAGAATTCGTCACAAAATTATATGTTAAGCGTTATATTAAGAGTTTATTTAATGTTGTTTGCTTTACTACGATTTATTTGCAATTAAACGTGATGTAATCGAAACCTGTCTTTGATTTTCCCAATATTGAGAGAACCACATGATTTTAATTTATTTTATTTTAATTGTTGCAATAAACTTGAAAGTGATAACATTTTTGAATAGAGAATGAAGAGACCTTTCAAACGATATATCACAAGCCTATACTTCCCATTTAAAAAGTTGGGAGTTGTACCTGTCATTCGAAGGATGTTGAAGGTAGGGGTGGTATTTTTACGTTGAAGAATGTCAAATTATAATTTACATTTGACGTGTTTCGGTTTTTTTTAATGTACAGTAACCGAAATAACGAATTTATTCCATTTGGCTTTTACACACTGTATAGCTGGTCCTTTGAGCCGGATTGAATGTTCATCTCTTGTTTCTCTGACTCACCCGGTAACACCGTACAATATTGCAAAAATATCTATACTTTTCGCTCGTTGGTATTATTGATTCCCCGAATTTGGGTCGGTGGTTTATATATCCACACCGAATTAGGGATATCTTAGGCCATGGCAATGGTACAGACTGGCACTAATGCCGGCTTTAACAGAATGACGGTGAAAGAAAGTGATTTGCTTCGAGAAATGGGTAGCATCTGCTATTTGCGGGTTGATCTACGGCATCGGAAGGTGGCTGACGAGTGTTTTGGAAATTATACGGGAATCCTGATCCGATGATATTTGGCCAGGAAAGAGAACGAAGGAGCCGATACAACAGAGTAAGTAACGAGTTAGTGTTAACGTTGGAACTATTTTGCACAAAAAAAGTATGATGGTGTATTTCTCATTTTATAGAAGAATGTTAATTATTAGCTTGTTTCAAAAGTTTGGCTTTTAATGTCATTTGCTTTTGTAGTTCTATATTTGTATTAATTAGTTTTGATTGAAATATGTTCAAACACATGAATATAGGAATGTTCTCAATGTAATTTGCAGCAACTGCAACCATGGAGTCCAGAAGAAGAAACCCCCTTTGTGGAGCAGTTCTCAGGGAGGCAAATGCCAGCCATAGTTGGTGGGCAGTATTATCCCACAGCTCAAACACCACATACCTGGAGACCGACCTATGAGAATCGCCGTATAATGCCGCTGTAACTCTGAATAAGTCTTTAGCGGGGTTCCCATATTCGAAATGAAAAACATGAGAGGTGGTGAAAGGAAAACTAGTCATTTACAGTCCGTCGGGTGATCAAGCCCTCGATTGTGGTCGTTAAGAACTCGGCGTTTGAACAGGTAGCTTTTGCGACCACCACCTCTTATGTTTTCTATGGGAACCACTTGGATCTAAATCACTAACGATCATTTCTCTAGATCCAGTCAATCGACAACTAACGCTATGATCGACTCGTGTCCAACTTCCTACGGAATCGCCCCAGAGCCGTTGAAATTTCCTAATTTGGTAACGGGGGTGAATCGCAACCCTGCCCATACTGCTAGGGTGGCATTGTACACCAGATATACGCCCTTGGAATGGACCCAGAGTAACTTGAGGTACTACAATCAGGCGGATACCAACCGGAATTATTCTGAGAGACTTCGCGGGGACTTCGTCAGAGTTATGAGGTAATAATTAGTGTATACCTTGTGTGGTTATACACGTCTCATCAAATATTTAATGTCATAGAACCGGTATCTGTGTTTCTCAGGTTCTCCAACTTGTTCTAAAAAAGTTTTTCTTGGCTCCTTCAGCAGCAAAACTATTCGTGTTTAAGTCATATTGTTGCACCGTAAAAGATATAACTGTCCTTCGATAGATTCTATCATTTGTCATACAGAATGGAAATATATGTTCTGCCTATTTAAGAATTATTGTAAATCCTTTTGTCCGGCAGGGAAACCGACGAAAAGACAGCGCAAGGGCAAAGAGAATCCGGCAGACGTTTGGGGGAGAGAATCACGGAAACTACGTTCTGGAGAAACGAACTTAGGAGCGAGTTGGAACGCCTCTTGATGGAGATAAATCTGTTGCAGGATTCTAGAAGGGCGCTCAAAAAGGCGATCGAAGATATCGAGGGACCCCTGCACATCGCGCAAGAATGTTTATACCATCGGGAGAAAAGACGAGGTGCCTATAGAATTGATCTATGTCCACGTAAATTTGTTTCTGATAGCAACATTTCGACACATTCTCGATTCGAAAACACGACCAATCAATAATGTTCAGTATGGTAACATTTTTTGATAGGAAATTATCACACTGGTACATTACTTAATCACAATAGACAGATATATTAAAGAAAATTTTAATGTTACCCACTCTGTGATCCTCCGAATTCATTTCTATTACTGGCAGGATGACCTGATAGGTAAGACCAATAAATAAAAGAAGAAGAGGAAGCAAATTCTCTAGTTTCAGTTTATGGCCTTTAGTGTCAGAACTTTACAGCCAAGACACTATTTTTTCGAAAAATCGTTTTCGTGTTTCATGTCACTATATCGATCTTAACTTTAATAAGTTTTAGAATTGTACATTAACGTTAACTTCGGGAACTGCCGTTCAATATTTAATTATTTTTACAGGAATTGACTTGGTACATGACAACGTCGAACAATCTCTGTTGAAAGAAATCGAAACGTATCGGAATGCGCAAGAAAGGCTGAAATGCCTCTACGAAAAAGTGCAAGACCAATTGCGCGTTAGCAGAGCCGTTCAGCATGAACTTGAGGCGGATGTCAAAAGCAAGGAGTCCACTCTGGGCATTGACAATATGTGCCACCAACTGAATAACTACTCCAAAGGTATCAATTACTATGGCGGAATCGAGACCTTCGATCCGACGTGAGTTATCAAAAATATAATTCAAGATGAATTTTGAAAATCGATCTACTGATATTCCAACTCGAAAATTGCATATAGTTTTTTTGCTGACCAAGATTTCAAATTATTCTCTCTAAACTTTCCCCTCTTTTTCGGAAATTTGGTATTTTCTTTGAAGTTCACTGAGTTGAAAATAGAAGGAGACGGTTGAATATGCTTTTGACCTTCAGTTTTGAAATTATGTGAAAAATATATAATCATTTGCTTACTCCAACATGCTATTCGTCGCAAACGGTACGATTCTCAAATTCAAGTTCAATTACAGTTAGTATTTCAAACCAAACATAACAATTCACGTGGCAGCTGGTATTTTTGAAATGTTTACGACGTCTACAGCTCAGCACTCTTCGGGGCTATGATAAGAGTACATCGTGTGCAATGGAAATGGTGGCCGAGTTTTATATGATGCGGCAATGGATCGAGAATACAACAAAAGAAATGAGCTGGCAAAAAAATAGAGATCCAGGAAGTTTGAAGAGTAGTTTGCTAGTGCGTTTTTGTCACCTCTTGAGAGGTAAAAAGCTAATTATTTTGTCTACCGATGATTTCACAGAGATGTCCTGGCAATTAATTGATCAAGTTTTACTGGGGCACAGTTAGCATTAATTTGCAGTTATTAGCGTGAATTATAGGAAAATAATGTCAATATTTTTGCTTTCATATGTCTAAGAAATTAACTATTGACAACTTTTAATTTAGGCATCAGGTAATCCTGAAAAATGAATATTCACATGAAAATCTGAGCGTTGATGATGATTCATTGAGATTTGTTCAAGTACAATTGTATCCAGATGAATTTAGCTAGGAACGTATTGAAATGGTGAACCAAACTCAAAATACTCTATATTCAAACTCTGGCAATGGTCGAACTAGAACAGAATCTCTGAAATTAATTGAAAAAAAAGCTTTTAGTGATCTGTTTAAGTTTGAGCACTCCCGTCACGTGGGCCGAAAACAGCAACAGAATAATACAAAAATCTCAAGGCGAAAGAGGACGTTCCTCCCAAATGCGTTCCGATGCCGAAAATCTCATCAACAGCTGCGCCCAAGAGTCCTGGAATGGTTGGAGTAATACAAACAACGCGCTCGCTAGAAGAACCGCGGAAACCATGGAGACCAAGTCGAAACTTCAAATGTATCTCCACAAAGTGAGTTTCTTCGAAAGTAGTTGCCCTTGAGAAATATGTTCGTGATTTTAGGTGCAACAAGAAATATTCGACTTGGAGAAGCATATAGAACTCCTCAAAAAGGCCATTTTGGACAAAAGTCACCCCATGAAAGTAGCACACACACGCTTGGAGGCTAGAACTCATCGGAAAGACATCGAATTATGCAGAGATCCAGCCCAGAAAAGGTGAAAAACTCTTGGAACTACATCCATGATCGTACATTCAATGTTTTTGATTAGAATCTTTTGACGACTTTGTTTTTCAAAATAATTTTAGGTTAGTTCACGAGGTTAAAGACCTGCAAGATAATATCGAGACGTTGCACAGAAAACTACAAGAAGCTGAGGCGCAGCACCAGCAGTTGCTCAAAACGCGATCAGATCTAGAATCCGATCTCCACAACAAAGTTAATTCGTTGTTCATCGATCGCGAAAATTGCATGGGAATGAGACGTTCTTTTCCTATCAATGCTATCATGAAGTACTAAAGTTGTGTTAGTGTTTCAATAAATGTCGTTGTTATGAAAGATGATGTATATTTGCTCTTTTGCTCCCTTCTCTTTTTCTTCCTCCAAACTTTATGTTGTCCCCATAAATAAGTGGTGTGAGGGATTTGTCAATTATGTTCCTTGTTTTTTTTATCCTTCTAAAAAATGGCTGAGCCCTATTGGAACCACGTCAAGAAACTACTTTCTCTCAACATAAGCTTTTATAACGTTTTGTCCGTACTCTTTGTCACAGAAATATAGCTGTAACTTATGAATTTCTTCATGGCCGGATAGCCAGGTTGTTGATGCCATAATCGTAAATTCTTTTCTTCTTTTTTTTCGTGGCCTCAGCTACGAGGGCTTCCAGACTAAATTTTGACACAATCTATAATACTAATATGAATGAATATCTATGTTACTTTACCGACAGAAAACTCAAACTTTGCACATCGAAAATATCCAAGGATTTCCACGGCGGTCTATTGCAAAACCAATGAGAAGTTGCCTTATATCTTTGTCTGCAGTTATCACTGGCGGTGAAGGCATTCCTGATCCAATACCGGAAAATACTGTGTTAATCTGTTATTGTTCTCAGCAGTAATGCTAGGCTGAACCATGAATGCATTATTGGACTACATAACCTGGATATCTAGGAACCTGAAGGTAAGTAGGAAAAATGCAGAGGTGGGTAGAAATCCATATACGTAGTTCCCCTAAAATACAAATGATAAAAACAAATCACCAACTGGAAACAACAAAAAATTGTGATATAATCTACTCGACCATGTTATCTTTGGAACTATTCCTGGTAACTTGCCTAACAGCTCCATCACTCTTTCTTTGGGTGTTTATAAAAATAAGCAGCCACCATAATAGAACTACTCAAGATGGTGTTGATGCTGAAGTTCAGCAGCAAAGTCAAATCCATGGACTCGACTGATATTGTGAATACCCGAGCTGTGACAAATAATTCCAATTAAAGAATCTGGTTTGAAAACGTATTGAATAAACTTACTGAAGTTTGTGAATGCCGATATGAACCAAGTCAAGACACTAACAGATTCAGAATTCTTGGTTCTCAGGATCTCTGCTAACTGTACAACTTTTGATGAGGCTCCAATAGGTGTACACAGGGGCTAAAAAAAAATTAGTAATGCGATTAATTCAATGGAATGAAACTAGACCCAAAGTATGTTCCATGGGACGTACCACTAAGAAAGCCAGAAGACCCAGAGGCGCTGTTCCTGATAGAAAAGCAGCAGCAATTAAAATGTATATGCTGGCTCCAAAAAGAGACAAGTAATTAAGCATGTCTTTATAGTGAAGAACGCACGCTATCAGTATTAGTTCTTGGATCAATATTATTGGATATTCCAGGTAGCTCAAGATGGCATAGCCACTTCTATAATTATAGGACATCATAATTGTATAACTGAAACAAAAATAAAGTTTAATTTCATCAATTTGTGCCACTAATCTTTGAGGAAGGATTCCTCCTCATCTATGAGATGTTGGATTTCTGTCTTGAGATGGTCAGTTTCTAGTTTTAAGATGTTGGAACCCACTTTGAAAATGTTGGCTCACATTTTTAGGATGTAGGGATATCACTTTTGAATTTCGGAGTCTACTTCACAGTTTTAAGGCGTTGACTCCCACATTGAATATGTTAAGATAGTAAAATAAAATAGAATATATGTTGGGTTTTATTTCACACTTCCACCATTTGGAGAATCTTTTTGAAGCAGTTCTCATAGATCTCCATCTCATTTAGGCAAAATATCAGCTAATGCACAATTCATGTCATGGTATCGACAATAATAATAATGTTACTTTTAAACAATCATGAAAGTTTAAAAAACAAGAACAACTACTATGATTTTGTCTGTACCTGGAAAGTTCCATCAATAGGGCTATAACGTTTATTCCTCTGGCATTTTTCACTCTTAGAACGGTGAGAATTTGTGGGACTTTTAAAATAAAACATATCGAAATAGTAATCACACTCAGACAATTCGAAAGAAGCGTTATATAATTTGAAGTTTTCATTTTTAATATCATATGTTTATGGTATGCCCCCAAAATTTCTATTTTGAAAACTGACTAATATTCCGGATCCGGTATGATACTATCGAAAAATAATACTGAGAAGTGCCATACATCTGAAATTTTGTGAATGCATTGATATTCAGGGATTACATGATTGTTTTGATTGAAAGGAATACATTTCAAGGAAAAAATAATTTCTGGGAAAGATAAGTTTTGGCTTTTCAGTTCTCTATCTTCATACAAAAAATGTGGAAATCTTGCAAATGAAGGAAGTAAGCAGTACATCTAAAAATAAACTCTTTACAAATATGTGTAGCACATGCAAAAAAGTAACTTCCTTTTGTTTCGAAACTATTTTTATTCTCTCGTGTAGTTCAATGTTTATATGAAAGTTGTTTCAAGAGGGCTTTTTCTTTTAGCTTATTTGCATGATCTACACATCTTTGTAGAGTTTATTTTGGAACTAATTGCTTACTTCTCATCTTTGAAAGATTCTCACATTTTTTTATGAAAAATGGAGAAGTAGAAAGCCCAAATCTTTATTTTCAACATGATTGTATTTCTGATAGTAGAGTAGTTTTAGATTGAAAGTTAAATAGTTACGGCTTCGAAATAATAGTGACAATTATTACCTCTTCTCATTTTGCATTTTTGAAACCTCAGTTATCGGAACTATCCAGCCAATCAACTTCAACCTTCTGAATATTTTTGTTGCTGGTTGTTTTTCACTACGTTTTTAGCAATAAACATTGATGAAGGATCGAAATATGATAAGTATAAAAAAAGTTCCTAATATTTTTTGACATAGTTTTCGATAATTCCAACAGGGGTCATATCAGGTCGTGGCTAAATGTCCTTGTGACTGTGACGTAATTATATAATAAATAACAATAAGAGTGTAAAAAATAATCACAGGAACAGCTGATAAACAAGTTATTTATATTGGATTATAATTAGAAAATAATGTGTTTATCTAAATTGTTTTTTACAACACGTTTGTCACGATTGTTTTAGTATTTATGTTATTATTGATGGTGAAGTCACCCGGCGGCTTTTAAAACATAAAGAACAATGTCTCGAGCAAATTCAGTCCCTTTTAACGTTTTCGCTGATGAGACAGACAAGGAACTTGAGGCATCCCTCGAAGAAAAAACGGATTATATCAATTTCAATTCGGTGGGTTATTTTTCCTGTAATGTTAGTTTATGAATACCAACAATTTTCCATTTTAGAGCAAGCTGGTAGTTTATCCAAAAACAGGGGGTGTTAAAAGAGGCTCCGTGAGTCCCAGCCTAAGGACGCTTCTCTTGATTATTGTCCTGTCATCTGTTTTTATCGTTCCACCAATTGTGTACTTGCTCAACTGCTTCGATGTCGCCTACAATCAGTCCTATTATGGGTACAGTGAGATCAAATACAGAGAGGTCAAAGCAGTAAGTTTGTGTTTCTTAAAAGCTGCAAAGTAATTTTGAGTCCATCTGGAATCATTCTTCTTGTGTACAGTTCAATGTTTCCATTAATGACATTCAAAGTTACTTTACCAGTTCACGTTTTTTATATTCAGTTTACAAACAGTTACAAAACTTCTGAGGGGAGAGCCATGAAGTTAACCCTGTGATTCACCAAGTTTCACATTCTATTTTATGAGAAGTGATCCATCAAATGAATTACCAATATAGAATTATAATTATTAAATCATAATCTGTATAAATGGGGGTTTCCGAACTTTTATTAGAAATATATCGAATATTTTTTTGTAGCATCGCTCCGAGCTCAATCATAAGAATTATTCAAGTCGAGACAATCATATAAAACCACAGGCAACTCCCAAAGTCTTACCTCCAGCGCCAAAACCTGACTATCAAAAGTGTGGTATCCTTAGAGACGAAGGGAAATTCGACTGCTATCCCGAAAACGGAGCCAACAAGCAAAGCTGTGAAGCAAGAGGGTGCTGTTGGAGTGGACAGTCCGTTGAGATACGTCCACAAGTCCCCTTGAACGTGCCCTACTGTTTTTATCCGCCAAACTTCAATACGTACAACTTTATCAATGTTACTGACACAAAATCCGGCCTGGTTGCCTTCATGACGAGGAGCTTCCGGACTGGCTACCCTGCAGATGTTGAACTACTGAAGATGGTAGTCAAATACGAGACAGAGAATAGGTTGCACGTCAAAGTGAGTTGTTTCGAAATAGTCAAATCTGCAGTTGACTTCATTAAGTTGTTTTTTTCTAGATTCTGGACGCGACTGCTTCCAGATTTGAACCACTTTACCCAGAGGTTCCTTTGGTGAACACGGCTGCTGTGAACAAGTCGTACATTTTCGAAATGGACCTTCTTCAGTCTGGTTTCAAGGTTGTTAGGAGGGATGATAATACCACGATGTAAGTCTTATCTACAGTTTGCTAATCTATGACGGAATAAAATTTGGTTCTCAAATAACAGAAAAATATTTTGAAAAGTCCACGGACTCTTGTCCGAAGATTTTTCAAATATATTACCATTATGGGGATATGGCGCTACTGGTTGATAATTATCTGAGCTTTTTCTTTCAGCTTTGACGCCAATAACTTCCTGAACCTCATTTTCTCTAAACAGTTCCTGCAGATTAGTTCGAAGCTGCCTTCGAAGTATATTTACGGTATAGGAGAGCATCAATCGAATCTCTTGCTTTCGACTGAGTGGTCACAGTTCACATTGTTCAATCACGATGCGATACCTTCGTTCAACGTAAGCTGTTTAATTTTTTTAAATATCTTATGTATCACAACAAAGCTAATTGCAGAGCTGGTCATCATAATTTGTACATTTTTATTAAAAAAATAAACAAGATAACAATTGTTGTGATGAAGCAATGAAAGTTCAAAGCACCCGATTAATTATAATGGTGGAGAGGTTCAAACATAGGGTCAAGTTAGGTCAAATGTATCATCTAATGATTTTGCTGATTATCTTGTACATGTCATTTCGAATATCATATTTCACTAATATCGATTATGAATCTCAATAATGATAAAAATGACACTCTCATAAAGAAAAATTCACTAGTTTTGTATCTGATTACAAAAGATGGAACAAAAATGGTATAAAAGAGTCGATAAAGTATTTAAAGATATTTTTTAATTGGACAACATGATACCGCATCAACACATTCATATTTACTTTGAAAATTAAGTTTTCTGAATCCTTTACATGAGATGGTAGTTCTAGGAATGTGGTGGTATGTCTTTCTTTCTTGAGCTAGTGAATTTTTCATTAGGTCTTTGGGGTAGGAAAAAGTAAATTTTCATTTGTTGAAGATGGATGGAACTTTCTTGCTCTAGTTCCATCTAGAATGTGTGTAGTAATTCGTAAATAACAGGGCTATACTCGAAAGCATTTAGGACAATACGAGAATTCATAAAGACTCCAGTAAGATCTTTATTATTTATTTTTACAGTCATAATAAATTAGTTTTAAGGTTATTTCTGATATGCTATAAATACATGTAAATGTGTAGCATTGTCTCAAATCCATCTATCTATAGAGTAGAGTAGACTAAAATTAAACATTCAAGAGAAGTAAACATGACTACACACCTTAATGAAAAAGCACGCTGTCTAATTCAAATTTTTTTCACAGATGGCGCTGATGTCTAATTACGTTTTCTCAAATGTCACAATGATGAAATTCATCTAGTAGAATATCACGACTGATAAAAACTCAGAACGAAATTGAATTTTCTATGTTTCCAGAAAAACTTATACGGTAGCCACCCTTTTTACTTGATGATGGAGAACTCTAGCAAGAGCCATGGTGTGTTTCTGCTGAACAGCAATGCCATGGGTACGTTCGAAGCCGCCCAGTCATGATTTCATTAAACACTCATTCGTTTCCAGACGTTATCCTGCAACCTACGCCTGCCATAACGTTCCGTACCATCGGAGGAGTTTTGGATTTCTATTTCTTCATGGGTCCTTCTCCTGCCGATGTGGTAAGTCAGTACACTGATCTCATTGGACACCCTTTCATGCCCCCTTATTGGGGACTGGGCTTCCACTTGTGCCGGTTCGGCTACAAAACTCTAAACGACACGAAAGCGATCATGCAAAGCAACATCGATGCTGGAATTCCGCTGGTAAGTGGAACTCACATTTAAAAACTTCAAAATATTATTGTCACATTTTTGTTCAGGACACACAGTGGAACGATCTCGACTATATGAATAACAGCAACGATTTTACTATCGACGCAGTCAATTATAAGGGTTTGTCAGATTTCATTGATGATTTGCACTCTAGAGGGATGCATTACATCCCTCTGATCGATCCGGGGGTGAGTGCCAGTGAAGTTCCGGGTTCTTATCTGCCTTACGACGTGGGGATCAAGATGGACATCTTTGTGAAAAATTCGACTGGCCAACCGTTTATTGGAAAGGTATTGTTTTAGTTCCAAGCACCAAGACAGTCATAAAAAATTGGTTGAAAACTAAACTGGTCACAAATTTCAAATTTTCATTAAGAGATTTGTAAGATAACCTTCAAAGTTGAAGTTTAGGTTGAGTTGAAAAACAACCTTGCCTGATACTTCGCTTTCTCGCCTATACAGGGTGTATCTTAAATGTGATTACTTGTCATATTTTATGAAAAAAACGTTCATATGAACTTGTGCTGACTTGCTTCGTTTCCCAGTAATAGGGGGTCACAGTTTAACTAAAAAGATTGTCATTTTAATGATAACCCACAATTATTTTCGCTGATTTTGATAAATTACATATTTGTTATCATATGGAAGAAATCTGATAATGGTGGCATTTGCATAGTTTTGCCCAGGAATGTTTTATGCTGATTTGCATTGCAACTTTTTCTTCATCTGTTCATGAACAAGAATCTTTGCAGTAGTTTTATCTAAGAATTATAGTAATAAATCATTTTAGATGTCTTTAAATGCAAATTTCATAAGGAAAATTTGAAGGTACGAAATATTGTAAAACTTTTTCGCTTTCTCACAGCATTGTGTTGCAAATATTTACACTCTTTCATAAATGCTTTCCAATTATAAGGTTCACAAATACTTTTAGAGCTAAGAAAACAAAAATCCATCAGTTTCACTGAGTTATATAATGGATACAACAAGTAATTTCGATTCTCCCTGCTCAAGGTGCTTCTCTCCTTTCTCAAAGTATAGTTTTTCCTGCAGGTTTGGAACAAACACTCTACAGTGTGGCCCGACTTCACAGATCCAAACGGCGTGACGTACTGGACCCTCATGTTGAAAAAACTGCACGACCAGGTGAAATTCGATGGAGTATGGATCGACATGAACGAACCCTCGAACTTCCTATCTGGGTCTTTTAACGGCTGCCCTCAGTCTTCCCTGGAGAATCCCCCCTATCTTCCTGGAGTAGACGGCGGCATCATCAACTACAAGACAATGTGCATGTCTGCCAGACATTATGCCGGACTGCACTATGATATCCACAATGTGTACGGTCTAGCCGAGGCTATTGCCACTAGCTTGTGAGTATGGGCGAAGCGATAATGTTTACTTGACATCGAATTGTCTTACATTTCAGTGCTATGGAGGAAATCCGCGGTAAGAGGCCCATGGTCATTTCACGATCGTCCTTCTCAGGTCTTGGACATTTCGTCGGGCACTGGAGTGGGGATGTGTGGTCCGCCTGGAGCGATATGAGGTATTCCATTCCAGGTAATGTCATTATTTGTGATTATCCGGCCTGAAGGTGCGACATTTATTTTGACGTCCGGCTCGAAGGACCAATATTCACTTGATGCATTTTGTGGCGTTTCAGGGATGCTGAGCTTCAGTTTGTTCGGGGTACCTCTCATGGGGGCCGACATCTGCGGATTCAATGGTAATACGACTGAGGCGCTGTGTAATCGTTGGATGCAACTTGGGGCTTTTTATCCGTTTTCGAGAAATCACAACACGGACGACGGAATTGTAATTTTTTGATATTTTTTGTAATAATTCTTGTCAAACCTGTTGATTTTTTCAGCCTCAAGATCCCGTTTCTATGGGAGAGCAAGTTGTTACGTCTTCAAGGAGAGCTTTATTGATTCGATACTCTTTTCTGCCATATCTATACACGTTGTTCCATAAAGCACACGTTGCTGGTGAGACCGTAGCCAGGCCTTTGTTTTTCGAGTAAGTGATAAAAAAATCGACAAATACGATTGTAGATACTGATAAAGGGGAATGTTCCTCAATTTGGGTTATTACAGCAAATTGCTTGATATGCAATCGTTGGTCTTATTCTTCATTCAATTTTTCATCATTACTTTCAATTTTTTTATCATATGATCTTCATTTTTAATCCGTTTCACAATAGTGAAATTTTTGTATAAACATTTTGTACTGTATGTATGAAGAAGGGAGTAAATGTTTCCTATAGCTTTATTCTGGAGTGGATTCACACATTTATGACATATAGTTGGGAGGTATTCACTGGGGCCTCTGCAGTTATTTTGAACAAATATTCATTTCGGGGGTCTCAATCTGCATATCATGTAGTGGAAGACATTGTATATGCGTCAAAAATTTGTTTGCTGAGTGCTTTAAATTTGCAGGTTCCCGGACGATCCAGCAACGTACAGCATCGACACCCAGTTTCTTTGGGGACCGGCTCTTATGATCATCCCTGTACTAGAGGTTAGTCTCTAATCCTTCATGACCATAAATTTTAGTTATCCCACCTTATTTGTCAGGAAGCCGTGGACAGCGTTCAAGCCTACGTCCCTAAGGGTGTTTGGTATGACTTTTACACGAAATGGCCAACAACAAGCGAGGGGGAAAACTTCACCCTCTCCGCTCCCCTAGATACTATCCCTCTGTTAATAAGAGGGGGTTATATCCTGCCGCAGCAAAATCCCAATCAAACCACAATGGAGTCAAGAAAGTCAAAAATTGAGTTGTTTGTTGCTTGTGATCAGGAAGGGAAGGCTTTCGGGGAGCTCTTCTGGGATGACGGTGATTCTTTAAGTGAGTTATAATGATATTTTACTTTGATAAACTTCCTTTTGTATGAGTTATTCCAAGAATTGTTTCAACTATTTAATGCTCATTCAAATATCCGAACAAGCGTTGTGGTGTAAAGCGTGATCCGGCTCGAAGGACCAAGTTTGTTTTGCTTTCGGTAATATTTTGTTCAAAATATAGTTTTTGGAGTATAGTTCATTGAGAAAACAATATAATACAAGGCAATTTTTCATTTTAGCAGCTGGGAGGAGAGAAAATAGTAATTTTTTGGTGTAATGATAGTTTTTATATATTTTTTCCTGAATTTTTGCTGTTTATTGTACAAAAAATTGCCTTTGAGTCACACTTTGGTAATTGCTCTTTTCAAAATCTTTGATATTAAAGTTGTGTGAGAATTCTTAGTTCATTTTGTATGTATGAATTTACTTCAACTTACATGTACTTTATTCAGATTTATATTATGCATATACATTTTGTAACCGCCGACTTTCAACAATTTTATTATAATCTATAGAGAATGTTATAGAAATTGTGATATTGTCGTAACATAAAGTTTCGATTGAATTCACTTCATGTCTTCACCACTACTGCCTCTTTTATTGTTACTTATTTCAGTCACTATCAAGTATTTTAATTTTAGTTGTTATTTCGTTACTTTCTTTTGTTTTTTGACTATCTCATACTTTTTTTCAATAACTTAATTTTTTTACAGATACCTATGAGCTAGGCCAATATTATCTCACATCGTTTGAGGTGGCCGACAATGTGCTTCGCTCTCTCAACCTTCATGAAAGTCCTCTGGCAGTACCTCCCAACTTGGCTTCGTTATTTGTTCTAGGAATTGACAAATTCGTTAGCAAGGTTACCGTCAACGGTTCTCCTCACACTCATTTTACATTCGATGAGAAATTCAAGGTAGGCATCCATCAGTAATTCTTTGTTCATTTTTGCTAATATCTATTTTTTTTTGTAGTACTTGTTAGTCGAAGACTTGGACTTGAAACTCCAGGAGGAGTTCATCGTTACTTGGCAGTGAGAGAATCGAATTTGTGTATGGGCCTTATTTTTGCTGTACTTCGGACATTCCGAAAACCTGTAATCAGTGATATGTTACTTAATTTGCGAGCTGTGCCGATTTATCCAGTTTCGATGTTTTAAATGTTTGGAGCGTATACTCCCATATGTATGAAATTTAATGTGCCATTATTGTCAAGGGCGGAACGGTAGGTCAGTTACCATCTGTTCGGACAGAGACGAACAAAAAAAAATTGTACAAATTTGTGATACGTGTTCAACGATACACTCCAATAGATATATTTTCGTTTAGAATCGATTCGATTGTTGTGTAATTTTACTGCAAAATAGATCTGTGTATTTTTTTCCTGATATGTGATACGTGTGATTGGCTTACTTCCATAGACAATTTTGAAAAACCCCGATTTCTGATAAACCTTGGCTAATTCCCTTATAAAATCAGGCCTCTGTTCATGAGAAGAAGAAATTAAACTTCTTCTTTTGGATTTTTACTGCGGCGTAATCTTACAGAGAAAGTTATCATGTTTTTTGAAGAAACTTCTTTTGTTTCCTTTTTTCACATAACACTGTTTTAATACAAAATTTGCCGAAAAATTATTTGAATGAATTTCTCGATTTCACACTATTTTTGGGACAATCATTGCGACTGCCCTTGTTATTTAAAGACTGAGCAGACTAGTTAAATAAAGAGGTTCTAATTAAACTTTTGTTTTATTTGAGTGACATAGTTTTTGGTTGAATTTTTGAATTAGTATCACCAAAAAGAATTCATTTCCACGGTCCTAATTTGCTGACAATTATCGAGGGGAATTCAGAGCAACAGAAAGCCGAAATCCAATCATGTCCCTAACTTTCCAGTTATCATAAAAAAAATGTTTCAAATGTAATTACTGGTTAAAATATACTTCTCGCGGGTTTTTTTGGTCGTTATGAGTAGCTTCGAAATTCAAATGCAGTTATTTTTGGTTGTAATTCTTTTGGCGCCATCTCTTAAACAGCGGTAAAATGATTTGGTTCTATTTTTCAAATATATAGGTTTCTACTTCAGCTTTTCTAAAAGTTCAGCTGATGAGTACTAGATGGCAAAGTAAAGGATTTCAAAGATATTTTTCTCGAAGTAAAAATACTTCAATTCACTATTTTACAATATCTAACAGCCCCAAGGCAGGGCAATATTGCAATTTGGACGCACTAACGATTTTATTGAAAAAAATACCATCAATTTTAAATGTTGATCCAAATTACTTTAGTTACTGAATTAATAGGGTGACGATTCATTAACGAGTTGTTTGAAAAAAAATATTTTTGTTAGAATATTCTATGCAGAAAATTTTTAACTTCGACTGTTTTCAAATTGACAGCGCTTCAAAATATTGTTGTTCCGTGCCCCAAGAAAACCAGTGTCTTCTTAACGAGGAATTATTTAATGGAACCGGCCGATATTTGATGCAAATCCATAACGAATTCAAAAACCCTTTCACTGTGAGATTTTCACTAAACAGTTTCGCTATACATAGATTCTTCAGGCGTGTCCGTAGACTAGAAAAGCTCTCCTAGTATGTCTATCAGACGAGAATATAATATGTTTCACAGAAGACAGAAAGTGGGAGCACATAACCGAGATCTTGATTGCGTTACATATTCACAGAAGTATGATTATTGAAGTAATTTTGACTGTTTCATTTCTGTTAGAACTGAATAAACAATCGGGTAATCAAATTTCATTTTTATCTGTCTTAACCGTTGAACTTTGATAGACGGAGGCATTATTGGCAACACTGAAGCCAAAACGTCAGACGCCAGATGACAGTTTTTTTGTCAGCTGTTCATAAATTTAGAGACGCCATTTGCTCGATAACTTGTTCGTCGTCCTCGGAATATTGTTCTTCGAATAGTCTACATTTATCCAAGTCATCCTGTTATAGAAATATTTTATCATCATGACCACAGGAATGCCGGAGCTGGGCTCCAAAATAAGTCTAATATCGAAGGCAGATATCCGCTATGAAGGACGTTTATTTACAGTTGATCCTCAAGAATGTACAATAGCTTTGGCGTCCGGTAAGCAAAACACAAAGGAATATTTGACATTTAATTTTTAATTATTCGATCAGATTGATGATTTCGTTTTTAATTTTAAGTTTGCTCATTTGCGACGCATCTTTCGTTCTGGGATATGTACTCGTGGAAGGGCGGTAAAATACGGTTTTTGAAAATTTTGTTGTCTCATTAATAATCTAATTACATGAAAATGTAAAGTTTGATTATCGAAACTGTTTACTTATTTTGTATCTGAAGGTAATTTGCAAAGATGAACCGGCAGATTCTTAAAACGCAGTTTTTAATTATAAAAAAAGCGATTCTGTTATCTATATTGAAGATGGTTTTTTTTGTTACAAAAAGTTTGGAATTACTTGAACAATATGGTACTGGTTTAAATTTCGTTTTCCAATATTTGTCAATAAATATTTCACATGGAAAAAATATTTTGTAGAAATTTTCAATGTTTTTTCAGATATAATCATGAGATTAATTGTAATTTTTCTCCTTTATTTATTGAGAGTTCTTCCATTGCAAACTAGTAAAATGCAAGTTTTAAATTCTTCACAGTATTTAAAGAGACAAAATTGATATAAAAAAATGTGAAATTTTAAATTCTGTGAAAATGAAATGAAAAATATCCCACAGGTTTTGCTGCAATATTATTCCAAATACCTCAATTCATTGTTCCTACCTGTTTTTTTTTTCAAACCACTTTTCAAGGTTGATTTAAAAAAAACATTTCACATAAGATTCCATTTTGTTGAAACACAATCTGTATTACCGGTTTGCTTGATAACAGAAATATTTACCTCCGTTCTACTTATAGATGAGATATGCAACACCGAACAGAAATATGACATTGATTTCCAATGACCTATGCAAGTAGGTATATGGGTTTTTGATGATTTTAGTTGCTCCACCGGCATTAATTTCCTATGTAATATTTTTTTATTTTATGATGATATGCTGTGCATGACATACATTTTTTAAATCATTCATCAGTAGAAGCATGGGCTCTTAAAGTTTGGTTTTTCTAAGTGCTCTTATTACTATTCATGTTCAGATTACATCAGAAATTACTTTAAAAAATGTAGGAAGGTGTATGTTTTAAGGGAAAGAAAGGTTTTAGATTTGGAAAGAAGCTGTATAAAAAAGGTGTATAGATCATACAAAGAAGTAATTTTCAGATACAAACTTCAAGAAAAAGCCCCCTCAGAACGGTTACTTTCATATAAACATTGAATTACAAGAAAGATAAATACTTTTGAAACAATTACTTTTATATGAACACTGAATTATACAACCAGTCATGTAGAAGTTTATCACTTACCAACCAACCAACAAACATCTTTTTTTATATAGCAGATTAATGAAAAAGTAATAACAAAAATTATTAAATAATCTTAGAAGAAGAAGGAATTCTACAATTATTCCAGAAGGGTTTAAACATGTAGATATACATAACAAACAACAAAACAGACAAAACTTAGCGGTGAGATTTGACATAGTTTGAGTTTTTTTTTATAGAAAGCATCTATTGAATCTTTCAACGAAGGTGGGGGTTTATTATACTCATTCAAACCTTTATATAGTAAAGACTTACTCGTACTGGTCAAACTAGTTAGAGGAAGGTGAAATTTTTGTGAGCTTCTCGCTCTTAAGTGATTATGGATCCGAGTTCTATATATACATATTGAACTCTATTTCATCACCTGCAATTTGTAATCTTATGTTGTGTCCTTTATGAGCTTATAACCAGTCGATAGGATCATATATTTTCTTTTGGGAGACGTTAAGTTTGAGTTTTTTGTGATTAATGTACTTGTAAATATTTCTCAGTTCACTTTTCATTTGATCAGCTAGTGTTTCTATATAATCTCCTAGAATTGATAAAAAAGTGTATTTTTCAAAAAGGTTCATGAAATAACAGCCATGGATGGTATCTATATTATTCAGGTAGTTTTAAAATGATATAGGTCCCAAAACACTCTCCTAAGGTACCCCAAAAATGATCTCACGAGAGGATACTGAATCCTTTAATTTGGTTACCTGCTTACGTTGTGATAAATAGTCAGTCAGCCATAACAAAACAGTTCCCCTGATACCAATACTTTGCAGTTTATTTAATGATATGTGGCGTTCAATTGTCACGTAAGCTCTTTTAAGATCTAAACAGAATGACCGTATCGTTTACTAAGATAATAGTTTTGTATTTGTTAGCATCAATTTATGTTGAAAAGATTATAGGTCCAAGAGCAGTACCCTGAGGCACTCCTTGGAGCACTGAAAGTAGTATTCAGTTTATTTATTTGGGTTCTGTCTGAAGATAACCGCAGAAGACATTGATGACTATCTAAAAAATAAACAAAACATTCATCTTTCTGGTAGTTTAACAATATTTATTTTTCGACAGTGCGCTCCTTCGGCACGGAGGACCGCGACACTCCTTACCCAGTACCAGCTCAGAACCAGGTCTACGACTACATCCTGTTCCGCGGCTCTGACATCAAGGACATCCAAGTGATAGGCAACATAGCACATCCTCAGCCGCTCAATGACCCTGCAATCATGCAGCTGTCGGTGCCCCCGTCACTGGGCAACCAGCCATTCCAGGGACACCCCGTGCTCGGACCGATGGCCCCCCAGATGGGGCAGTTTGCTGCCACGTCATACGGAGGAATGGGAGCGGTGATGGGCAGCCTAGGAACCGCTATGGGAGGTATGCAGAGGAATTCCAGGGGTATGGGGGGCAGCAAGCCAAGCGAGTTGATCGTGGGGCCGGGTCCCCAGCCGCCGACTGTCTTGTCGCCGCCTATCGAGCCGCCTCAGACGGCCGTCAATCACGGTAAATTTAGTTAGTTTCGGTTTCGGCTTGCTCACGCTTTTTGTAGGTAGTGCTGCTTTGCTTGCTTACTCACTTGCAATCGTAGGGTAGAGGATTTTGTCTGTAGTTGTTGTAATAGGTGGTAGGAATGGCATTTGCTCGAGAACAAAGTAAGTAGTGAATCTTTACACATTTTCCATCAATTTGTGCATCCGAAATAAGTCGACAAAGTAATGAAAACGATACTCTGTGGCTACCGCTCCCAACAACTTATATCATTCAGGGAATACTAGCACCATGTTACGATTTTATTTATTCATTTATGTACGGACTTGGTACCCTGCTAAATTTGAATATTCAGCTTAGTTTTTTAACAGATCTTGTATATTAACAAGAAGGGTCTACCAGACATTCTTGATTTTTCATAAATACATTAAATCATCTACTAGATAGCTTGAGTTGATGTGCTTGTCTTGTTTTTTTAAATTTGCATCAACTCTTTTGTGTAATTCAAGTCATATTAACCTCTCTAAGTTCACGTTTTCTAATTTCCTGAATAACTCTGTAACTTTGAAAAATTCTGTTTATACAAAAGATCAGTTCAGAATTTACGTTATTATCTGAATAACATTTCTTGTTGACTTTTCATATATGTCTGTCAAACAGAAGGAGTACTATAATTTCATAAGCTCGATTTTTAATTTTTGACTAAAGTTATTTATCTTATGCAACTTTCGTTGATATTGGGCAGCAAAAGCAAGGAATTTTTGTACTTTAATTTTAATGAAAGCAGTTCCTTGTGGAATACCATATGGAAATTTTTTTAATCAAGTCTTCAATTAGATACAGTAATATATATGCTTTCTCATAAAATATCAAGTTCTTGTTGACAAAGTAAGAAAGAATCTATAACAATAGAACGATTAGAACTTGTATTTCACTTTCGTAATCTTCACATCATTTTTGGATTTTTCCCCGAAAACAGAGTGCCCTTCAAAGAAAATTCATAGCGCGAACATTTTTTTGCATGGCGATTCATGAACAGTACAAATAAAACGAATGCTTCTTGCTAATGGCTTGTGCATCCCCGTTAACATCACTACCAATCCGCAACAATGCAATTCTAGAAGTCTCAGTTTCTTAGCAAATGTTCTAGATTTGATCGGAGGATCAAGGAGTACGACCCCGGCTGTCAGGAAAACCCACACTGGATATGCGAAGCTCGTATGCAGCGTCCTCAGAAAGTAAATGTATGGGCAGGCATCATCAACAACAGAATATTAGGGTGATACTTTTTTGAGGGAAACCTTACAGCTACACGCTACTTAGACTTTTTACGCTTTGAATTAGTCCCTGCTTTAGCTGTTATGTTTACCAATGAAGCTGATCCAGATATCCCCACTGAAACACTTTGGTTCCAACAAGACGGCGTTCCCCCACATTTTGTTATTAATGTCAGAGAATATCTCGATGATAAATTTGCAGGACGCTGGATTGGACGACGTGGTACAATGGCCGCCAAGATCCCCAGACTTAACGCCATTAGATTATTTTTATTGGGGATATATGAAAATAAAATACTGGTTAAAAAGATATTAATTTTATTCCGGACTTTTGCGCATCCCTGTATATACTTTCTCATAAAATATCAAGTTCTTATTGACAAAGTAAGAAAGAATGTATAACAGTAGAATTTGTATTTTACTTTCCTAATCTACACATCATTTTTGAGTTTTTCCTCGAAAACAGAGTGTCTTTCAAAGAAAATTCATAGCGCGAACATTTTTTTGTATGGCGATTCATGAACAGTACAAATAAAACGAATGCTTCTTGCTAATGGCTTGTGCATCCCTGCTAACATCACCACCAATCCGCATCAATGAAATTCTAGAAGTCTCAGTTTCTTAGCAAATGTTCTAGATTTGATCGGAGGATCAAGGAGTACGACCCCGGC